GATCCGGAACGGGCCGTTCCGGCCTACATATGATGCCTATAAATAGAAATCTCGGGCACAGTTCTCAGGGACCCCAAAAATTTCGTCCAAAGCTCCTTAGAGCTTGAAATTTCTCTCTCTCTCTCCTATTGTATTTCTTAAGTTTTGTGAGGCTTATTATAGTGTGAAAGGTTGCCAAAAAGCACCTAAATCTCCATATTTGAAGATTAATAGAGCTCGTTCAAGGGACATTTCAGTTAATTTTCTTCTCTCTCTTTTATTTCTTATCTTTGATAAATATTGTTTATAATAAAAGCAATCATGTAGACATTTTAGGGTCAATTGTATAATTTAAATTTCAAACATGTAAATAATTATTAAAAAAGGGAATTTAATATTTACATTATTATTGTTTATAGCTCTAACTTCATCATAGGGTACCAATTGAGGGCGTTGTAGGGGTGCTTAATACCTTCCCTACACGTAACCGACCCCCGAACCCAATTCTGGTTATCAAGGCCATTATTGAACTTTTAGAAAACCTTTTCTTTTTCTAATGTTTTGAGTAAAACATTGGTGGCGATTCCATGAACTCATTTTTCAAAACCATTAATTAAGGATTAGTCTGGTCTCCGAGCATTCTTTAATTGATGATATTTTCAAAAGGATGTCTAAACCATAGGTCGCAAGATCAGAAATTTTCGGGTTGCGACAGATGGCGACTCAACTGAGGACGTTTAAAGAGGGCCAGGCCCATATAAATGATGAAGTTAATAAAATAAGAATAATAATTTTAATATGTTCTCCCCTTACTTTGTTTGTTTTATTTATTTGGCTTTAATATCTATTTGTTTGTTTACATTCTGCACCTGTTTGAATAACAATTGTACACAAAGCTTAGCACACAATAGTCCCCTTACACTCGAGGGCATGAGGGTATTAAACATAGGGAGTGGTTGATGTACGACTGACCCAAGTTTGGCCTTGGAGCCTGCGAGCCTTGTCGAAAATCACACTCAAGGTAATAACCGGTTACTCTAGCCTGAAATACTACGACACACCTTAGTGTGACACCCTTACTACCCCATCACATATATTGTAACAATGTAAATAAATGAAGGAAATAAATTTTTTTTTTCAACATTGGTAAAAGTGTTCACATAAAAACCTTCATAAATGTTCTTCAATATCCAAAATAGTTGAAAATGAAACTTGGAAAATAAAAACCTAAGAGGTTACAAAATGTTTTCAAAATAATAAGTACAACTACAAATACATATGTAAGTCCATCTCCTAGAAATCCTCTGCCCCGATATCACAATATCAGAGCACACCCACAACTCAACTGTTGGCATTCTGGATGCCACTCATAACTGGATCATCCTCACCTAAAACATCCATAAATTGTACGGTGAGAAAAGAAAACATCTATATGTAAAACACACAAGGAAAAACACAACATAATCTCATCATACCTCATTACTTAATGAAATATTCACAACCGTTTCTCTCTATCTCTCTCAAGTCCTTTAAAATCCTAATCCAATACACCCCCCTAAATTTGTTAGTCTCAAGTTCCACATTGATGAATATTTTATTTTTACCTCTACATTTAGTCTATAAAATAAATTTTAGTATAATTCTATAGACATTCCAAAATCATCTTTTCTTATATTATATCTATTTTAACAAATTTTTTTTCGATAATAGTATTATTTTACTTTAAGGAATGAATTTTATGATAAAGAATGTTATAATTTATTTCTTTAGTAAAGTGTTTTTTTTATTGTGTGATTCTCTTTTTCTTTTCTTCTACTTATTTTCTCATCTAAATTATTATTATCACTGTAATATCCAACACGTAACACCAAGAAGTTGACCAAAGTCCTAAAAACTATTCCATTGTTCTCATTAATATTCACAAAGATTTAAAATGATTGAATTGATTTTAAAATCCAATTGATAAAAGTTAATAACACATCATATTTTAGAAATGTTCATAGGATGAAATTGACTCCATAATCTTAATAATTCAAATCAAACTAATTAATTTAAGTTATGATTGAATTTTTTCATTTCAAATTTCAACCAATTCAATTATTATAAATTATTTTAAATAGATATCGAATTTGTCCTTTTTTAATTTTTTGCTTCATATGAAACCTCCTTATGATGAAGTAATTAATGTTTTTCCTCTTAACTTTTACATTAATACATTTTAGAAATTTGCACCCAGAATTTTCTTCTACTGTTATATTTTATCTTTTTTTCTTTCATTTTGGTCTTATTTGCAATTTTATTGAACGTTTCCAAGTGTTTTAACTGGGTCATTTTTAATTATTTTTTTTTCTCTTCACATTTTGGATAAAAAAGTAATGAGATATATAAAGTAACAATTAAAAAATATTAAATAAAATAAACAATTAACAATTAAAAAAATAAATATTTTTATCTTTTAATAATAATAATATTAAAAATTATATAAAATAAATATAAATAGGCATAAAAAATTAGAAATATAATAATTTATTTATTTTTTTATCATTATTTGATAATTTCAATAAAACCAACCCGATCTTAATTAAATTAGTTTGATTTAAATTAATTAAAATAAACTAAATTTAATTGGTTTAAATTTAAATTTACTCTAAATTAGTATAACCTAACTCATAAACAACCTGGTACACATTTTATCCGGTATATTTCTTTGGGATTTTCACACATCTACATGTATCTTTTGAAACTTTCTCTTGAAAGTAATATTGCATGAAAAGTAATGTACATTTAATATGAAGCAGGTATACTCGCATGACAGGATTCTACACAGACTTCTAGAGGCCGGTTTGAAGATCCAATTACAATCAGAATTGCCTCACATGCTTTCACAAAACCTTTTCATCAACCTGAGATAACTTTCATTTTTGAATGGCTATGAAATTTGCTTTTCCTGATACAACCTGCAGAAATCGAATCTTGCTCTTTTTGATTTTACTGTCATGGATCCTTTATATTAATTGAAATTATGTTCATCTGACATATATGTCCTCTCATATCACATTATCCCTTATCTCTCTTTTTGGAGAAACACTCAGCTTCAATTCTTATATAATCTTCAAATATTTTGTTTCATAGTAACATGCTGCATCTCCTGATACTTGACATGGCCGGATATAGAGTTACTTAAATTATCAGTTGTAGTGCATGCACATATTGATTCTAGTATAATTCCATCATAAAAATTATTTTTCAAAATTTAAGTATTATATCTTTTTTGGACTGTAGGCAAAGAAACATATTACATATTGATAAATACTACTCATGATTACTTTTAATTGCTGTTTAAGGTTGTTATACATAAATTAAGGAGTGTATTAAACATTTTTATTTCTTATAAAATGCTTTTGATCTTTATTATTATATCTCTTTTCTTTTTGCTTTATAATAAAAGTTTAATAAAATATAAGAATATAATTGATAAAAATTTAATTAATATTGTCTTAACTTTTAAAAATGATTGATAAATACAAACAAATTTTTTATTAAAAACATATTGATAAAAAAAATAGAAGGAGTAACATATAATTTTATCTAATCATTAGTCTATCTTGACCATAAAATAAAAGAAATAGTTAATCCGAACTTTTTCTATTAAACAAAATCTTTTGCAATGAGTATATATGATTTTATCAAATTTATTGATAGGATCAGAGCAGAGAAACTTAAAAGAAATAAATCAAATGATTAAAAGTTTATAGGTTAGTCTTAATATTTAAATATTATATAATTTTTATTTTTATATCATAAAATGGAACTTGTAAAATTGTTATTCAATTATTATTAACTATAAGATAACATTAATTGTGTTGTAATTGATAATATATATATAAAATAATGAATTTAGTATTATTTTTTTTACACGTTATTTCTTATGCTATCATATTAATGATAAACAACATCATTATATATAACTAATAAAAAATTTGATTTTTGTCAAGAGTTCGTATATTTGATAGTTAACATAAAAGAGTTGTTGTAAATGCTATTTCTTTATCTTGAGTCAAGACTACTAATATTAATAAGAATGCTGACAAAGTCTGAATCAGGATTACAATTATCTAGGAGGTTTCTAGGGACATAAAAGCTGCATATCCCAAACAAGAATCTTCACTGTCATGATTGAGAACCTCATTAGGTCAATATATGAAATTGAGAACTTCAAATATAACAGTGTGGGGAAGGAGGGAGGCACAAAAGAAAATAATTAAAAAAAGAAAAAAACACATCTAGTTATGTTGTTTTCTCCTGAAGATCTTCCAGCCTGCCATAACCCCTTATGTTACTTTGTATAATAACTGTTATAAAAATAAATTAAAATATATATATATATATATATAATATAATAAATAAAATTCGAGCTTTAATTAACAACTACACCTATGAAGACAAAATAAAGCAATGCAAAGTACAACATATAATCATTTGGAATCTTAATGAATTTATTGAGATTATCGGATACTCAAGATAATGAGCAAGAAGACACTAGTATTCCGTGTTCGTCTTCTTGTTCAAATCCAACATAATTGATTGATAAATTAAATCATCCACGCCTATCTCTTTATTGTCCCATTTATCAGTTTTCCAATCTAACTTGACCATCTAGCACAACACTAAGCATTGGTCTCTCATATAATCATGATTTTACAACCAATTTCATAAATCTAAGAAACATAATGATCCGAGGGAAAATCACGACGTAGGCCATAAGATAAAGCCATGAGCAAGATTGCAGCCTCCTTCTCATCCTGAGGGAAAACTTGTTGTAGATCCAAGTTCTTACTCAAGCTTATTGTCAAATCTTCATAATTTTCAAACCTCTTTCTATACTTGTCTCCAAGTTTTCTCTTCTTTTTCAATTGTGGGGCACACTCCGCTTTGGACTTCATCCTTTTCTTGTGCAACTTCTTTCCCTTCTTCACTTGAGATTTGTCGGGCTCCACAAGACTTGTTCCATTTGCTGATGCAGCTGCAGCAATGGCTCGTCTTGCCTTCCTTTGTCGAATCCCACAAGCATTGCAAAGGGACTGTACACGAAAATTAAATTTCAACTTCATTTAGCTAGTTTAAGAACTCAATTGTTTGATTCAAAATATTCTGCTTGCATTCTAATTAAATTAGTATAGTTACTAAGCCATAAAATTAATGAATTTATGTAATTGCTTTGTTGTAGATCGGTGTTGTTATAGAACTTAATCATGAGTAGAATAAAATAAAAATTTATAGCTAACTATTATTCATGATAAAAGAATATATTTAAGGTTGAAACCACAAAAAAGAGAAAAAAAATATATATATATATATACCTTTGGACCATTGGGTCCGGTCCTCCAGAGAGGGGTCTCAGTGGTGTGACAATCAGCACAAACCCTAACAGTGATATTACTATGATTTGAAGAAGAACTGTAGTTAATATTATCAGGTCCTTGAGGTGATAGTGGTGAGTTTTTCTCTTCACACTTGATCTGCTTAGAGTTAGAGACACTTTTTATATCAGACACCATCATCTTCCGCATCATTCTGATCTTTGAAGGCATCCATTTCCTTGAACTATCTTCACCTTGAAGATTTTCACACCTATCTTTTTTCTTCCATACCCTTTGTTTGAGATCACTTCTATTTTCATCATTTTTCTCTATCGGATGATCCCATGATCCACCAGAAGGATCAATCTTCTCAGCCTACAATCACATGATTAAATTCATCAAGACAAAAATAATTAACTACTTACTAAAAAATAGTTAAGATCATAACATGATCATGTTTTATTATCTTATTTCATCTATCTGAAATATGTTTAAATACGAGTAAATAATACTTTTAAGAATTTTTATTACTAGAAATAAAAAATTCTTTTAATAGAAGATCTCTCAAAAAACATTTATAAATTTGTATGTAAATAAACTCCTAATTTAATAAAGGAAAAATACAAGACAAAAAAAATTATAATAAAAAAATTAGTACTTAACTTTGACATAAAGGATAATATGAGTTAAAAAAATGATATATATACATCACCTCTTCATCACTTTGTAAGTGCTTTGATTTCTCATGGTAAGATCCTCCTTGATCTTGATCTTGGTTGAAGAGTATAGAATAAGGTAGAGAAGATGATGATGAGGCTTGATGGTTTGTACCGAAAAGCTGGTGAGTGTGATCATCATTAAGATCCATGGGCATAAGAGAAGACACTGAATAACTATAAGTTAGTATCAAGTACTCATACACAAAAAATGCACACAAACCAAGCCAAAAGAGAGAGAAAAAGAAGGGTCTGGTGTAGATCAGTGTATCTGCAACGAACTACCTTTTGTCCAGTTTATAATAAAATAAAAGGGTCGGGAGGAGGAAGATTAGCAGAAAGAGAAGAAATAAAAGGCTAAAAGGTTTTGATTCTGAACATTTCTAGTACACGAGCAAGCCATGGTAAAACTGATTTAAACAGAAGATAGATAAATTACAGCCTAGCACTGCCTCAAGAGCTATCACTATAAGACATTCACGTGACTTGGAACGTTTAAATGAGACAAATAAAAAAGACAAACCTATTGAGGAGAGTATGGAGTGCTACTACGCTGACCCCATACGTATGACAAAAACCCTAATTGCAGAATTTCCTTTTTACCACTGCATATTGTGCACATCACTGCCTAACTCTGACTAGATGAAACTTGAAACCTATAATTTGATAGTAGCCACACATGATAGAGATAATGTACCCACACATCACAAGCTAATAATTTGGTAACAGGAATAATCTTGTGGGTCAAATGCATTTCCCCGCCAAACATAAGTTTATGTTGTAAGAATAGGACACAGGTGCGAAATTGTTCTTATTTAAAAATTGTTTTGAGTACATGTCTGTATTGATTTTAATGAAACATTTTCTCTTATAACTAGACTTGAGAGGCCTTTATAATTTTATTTTCATCCAATACATGTTAATAATGATATAAAACTCTACCAAATAATTATAAAGGATATTTTTCTTAATGACATAATAACATAAGAAATTTATGTTAAACAACGTATTAATTTTAAAAGTATGGACTATCTGAATATATTTTTAAGTTAAAAAAACTTTATATGATTTAAAACAAACTCTTACAGTTTAGTATGAAAAATTAAGTTTAACTTTTAAGCAAAATGATTTTTCAAGAAGGAAAATGTACATCACACTCTTTATAAAGGATATAAAGTCATATATTTATCAATAAATTTGTGTTGATGACATTAATGTTGTACTATAGATGACCCTATACAAATGATTTTCTAAATTAATGTAGGATGCATGAGTTTGAAATGAACATGATAAGATAGTTGAAATTCTGTTTTGGGCTTCAGATAAATCAAACAATATATGTATGGAATCTATCCATCAAACAAAGTATCGCAAGGGACTTCTCAACAAGTTCAAGAAGAATCATTACAAAACCATAAATACCGCTATCAATGTTTGGATTGGTTAACGATGTTAACAAAAAGGTACACTAAATAGTTTATAGAAGTATGATTGGAACACTATTATATTTGATGATGTTTAGTCTTAATACTATGATTAGTCTTTGTCATTGCAAATTTTAAATTTGATCCTAGAAAAATACACTTAACTATTGTTAAGAGAATTTTTAGGCAACGATCTTAAAGGTACTATTAATCTATGCTTGATGTTTAAGAAATTCAAATAACACATTAATTATCTATTGTGATGTTGATTATGCTGGAAATAAACTTGAAAGGATGAACATTAGTGGACATCATTCTTCAACAAAAGTGTTTTTAAACTGTTTTATTTTTAAAACTACAACTTTTTAGATAATTTTTCTTAATTTCTTATCTATTTGGATCTATCATTTTTGTTTTATTTATAAATCAAATTAAGCATTTTTAAAAATGATCAATAATTAAAAATAACCTTGTATCACAATTTAAATTATTTATCATAAATTTAAATACTAATTTATTACAAAATTTAATTATAATATGATTTATATATATAAAATTATTTATTAATTATAAATATATGAGAAACTTAAAAACATAACATCGTCTCATGCAAACAAAACTTGAATATACATACACATCAAATGTATAGAGGGAATACATGGAAATACATTAAAGAAGCAACAATTCTCTAGACATCAACTAAAAACATAAATACTCTTATGTGGTTATAACACTCTTAAATATAAACAATATATACAACAAAAAGGAAAACTCCTAAATTGGTTTAAAAGTCTATACATAGTAGTGAAAAACAGGCTACAACATTAGGGCTATTAAATCGATTGAAATGCAATAGATTTAATAAATGACGCAACGACATTTTTGAAATTATATCAACGTACATTTTTAAAAATTGATTGAGTAACCATCGATTTAATAGAGTATATTCAAAATTAGTTATTTTTGAACTGATTTAGTAGAGTATATTCAAAATGCATTAAACTTTTAATCAATTTTGAATATACTCTATTACATCGATTAAAAAATAACCGATTTTGAATGTAGTGTTTCAGTTTTTAACCCTTCATTCAAACACAATAGTCGCACAACACTCATTTTCATATTTATCGCATTCGTTGCAAGTTTGGTGAGGATAAAGCAAGGAGTAAGACACTTGATTCAACACGAGGATGAGGTTGTGGGTTTGGATATGGACACCGTCCATGATAATGCACGTTGCTACTCCGACTACAAGAAAAAAATACAAATTTTTGACGGACATAATCCATCGAAAAAGAGGAATATTCGTCGGAAATTCTCTATTTTCGACGAATTTTCGACAGATGCAAATCCATTGGAAAAAGGCGTCGAAAAAAAAATCCGTCGGAAACAATTTAATCTGTTGGAAATTTCCCATGGATACATCCGTCGATAATTATCCGTCGAAAATTTCTGACAGATATTTTCGTCGGAAATTACCGACGAATATTTTCGTCGAAAATTATTTGAAAATCTTTATATGATTTGATGGATTTATCCGTCAGAAAATTTTTGTTTAATTTTAATAAATTTATTAATGTAACAGCTCTCATATTGGACCTCTCAAAGGTTTTATTTCACAACATTTCACTTTTTAGCGTGTTTTCTCCTTACTCGTGTAATTTCTGGGAAACTTCCTAAAAAGTCACCCATCCCTATATTACTCCAAGTCGAACACACTTAACTGTGAAGTTCTGATGAGATAAGCTACCAAAATGTATATGCATGTTGTTAGTATAATTTGTACAAATTAATTCATTTAAGTCATCATCAACTATACAATTTCATACTTGTACTATAATAATAATATATACTTATTTTATATTACGAATAATAATAATAATAATATATTTAATTAATATTTATTTATATGTACATACTTTTATAATTAACAAACTACTTATTTCTATTTAAAATTA